GCCTCCGCCCCCCCGCCACAACAGCCCAGGATATTCCTGAACAATTTGCCCCCCCCCCCCCCAAAAAAGTAAAAAACCTGATAGCTAAGGGATATCTATACACAATCACACTACAGTAATGCTTGTTATTAAATTAAACAGAAAATAAAGACCTGGTTAATCCACACTAAAACTTTGTTTTACATTGGAAAAAATACATCAGCAGCAGGAAGTAATATACAGGAGCCAATGTTATCGTAATACAGAACGTGGAGACATTTAGTGATTAAAGCTCCACACAGACCCGCACTATGAGAGGCTGGCAATTCCTATTGCAAGCCCAGCAACTTAAGTCCACACCTGGTAAACTACCAGCTGCTTGGAAGACCTGTATTCTAAATAGACAGGTATAAGTTAGTGAAAATAGACTACATGCACCTAACAATACAGCTTGACTGAACCGGCAGTCATTTATTTTGCCCTGCATGTTACATACAATGGAAGATCTACCCTTCCTACCACAGGTAGATCCATGGGATTTGTTTCTTATTCTTTTAATGGCATTGCTATACCAACATGGATATTAATGTTAAGTGCAGCACAGACCATTATGCTACACTGACAATTAACTAGCACTTGAGTAGAATATCCAGAAGTAGTTCAAATATAACTGGAAGATACTATCAGAACAATTGTGACATACCGTCCTACATACAGCTGCTTTTGTAAAGCAAAATTTTCCTGAACCAAGACTTTATAGGACTAGAAGTTAATTCTTCAGACAATAGTCAGATGCTTAAGCTCATGATATACATACAAGTTTCTCAATTATCGGAGCATTTCATATTATGGAAGCATATCTGCTCATAAAAATTCACTGAATGGCTGCAAATATTAAGTAGGGCATAAAAATACAATTTATGAAAGACAGGTATAACGTTTCTATTTCCAGCCCTGTTCTCTCATAAGAGTTCCTTCCAAGGTAAAATGAGCACAAAATCAGGAATAGAGTCTATGAATTTGGGAGCTATAAGGTAACCATCCCATCCAGCTCAAACTCATCAGGTCCTTCCGCTGAAAAGAGATATGTTGGAGGTTTCCATGGGGACTCCTCGAGGCAAGATGGATAAAGTTTTCCTACAGTGCACCGGAAGTCTTTCCCCAAGTCCCAGAGTACACGCTCTGATATAGATTGTCTCAGAGACCACTGATCACGTTCCAGATCATATTGGTAGGTGGCATACTTGGCTCTCTCATTCATGTGGGTTTCTCGTATAAAGACACATAAAGAATTGGAGATCACAACAGCTCTAACACAAGGATCAGAATAACGCTTGGCAGGGATATTGGCTGCCATTCTCCACTCATTCTTATTCACATCATAGATTTCCACAGTTACGGAAGACCCATCTACAGTGCTAGTTGGGAGTCTTATACCAGAGTTGCTGCCAATATGCAGTCCTCCAATATAGAATATTTTATCACCAAAAGCGGCAGCTGATGCAAAACATCTACTAGTTTGTCTCATAGCCATTTCTACCCAAGCATCAGATCTGGGAAAATAACAGTACATCAAGTTGTGTGCCATTACATAAATGCAGTTATGAACAGCTACTGCTGTACTCCATTGCCATGCACAAGGCAATGGACTCACCATGGTCCATTCATCTTTTTCAGTATCGTATCTTTCCACAGTTCTCCTGTTAAGTTCACCACCTACACTGTCTCCTCCAATTGCATAGATGTATCCTTCGCAGCAGACCAAAGAAGGCTTTATACGAACAAACAACATTGGGGTCTTTGGAAACCATGTATTTTGCTGTGCATCAAACCAGTAAAAGCAATTCACAGTTCTGAAGGCAGCCTGAAGTTTGCTACTTTTACTGTGATTGGTTTTTGTGTTTTTCAGAGGAATCTGTCCACCTGCTATGTAGATATCATTATCAGGAGTCACAAGTGTTCCAACCTTATGCAAGTCAGCAGGAGGGTTGCAAAGCTTGTAAACTTTTTCTGCCTGGGGACTGTAACAGACAGAAGAATAAAGACTACCAGAGCTTTCAGCAGCAGCTTCAATGAATATCATCATCTCCTCTTTAGTCATGCCAAGTCTTGGTTTGAAGAACTTGGGCATAGATTTATACAATCCTTGCACCACCACTGATTTATCATTAGGTGGTAGACCTTGAAACCAGGCTCTCTGTGTTACTTCTGAAAGTGCATCAATTCTGATTTGGCTAAGAACAGAAGATAAATACTGCGATCGTGATTCTGTGTTGTACTCCAGCCATACCATAGCAGCTTCACGAACTGTCTCCTCTTTTTCCACATTTAAGTTATCACTGCTTAAAATATCTATCAGTAGATCATGTGACAGTTGCATGAAAGCCTCTTGATGATATACAGCCGTAAACTTGTGCTCTACCATTCTCTTAGCACTCTGTTTTAATTCTTCACAGCTGAAGAGATCAGCAAAACTAAATAACCGCACACAATTTTCTGCATTAATTTTCTTAATTAAATAGTCTCTACATCGCTGTAATACATCTTCTACCTGTAAGACAAAAAGACACAGTAAATAGCACAAAACACAATATAGTCCTTCATTTATAAAAAATATATATAAGTTCAGAGAAAAACTGCACTGACAGTATTACTTACAAGAGATTTTTGACCCCGGAATTTTATTTTTTGCCTTTCAATACAAGAAACTATATAATTTGTAATTGGATACCAGGTTTACTTGGCATACAAGTTGCTTGATCCTAAACTTTGTAAGATGCTAACAGTGTCCATATACCAAAATGTGTTTTCTTCTACCCCTTTAAACACCATAAAAATAGGCTGCGGCAGAATTGCTAAGAATTGGGATCTGACAAAAATCTTAAGACAAATTAAAACCAGTATTTTGGTATAGAGATTAAGAGCAGTTATCATACAAACTTCATTCAAAATATATTTGATACTCCTACCTGTAAGAAGCAAGCAGTCTCATAAAGCTGTTCGACCGTGCTGTCACTTATTGCCAAGTTACCCGTGTAGGAGTAAGTTATAATGATTTTTAAAGTGGCTGCATCCATATTCCTCAGATGTACATGTGTTTGCTTACTTTCACTTAACCCACTCATGAACATGGCCCTGAAGAAAAATACATGATATTACAGCATATATTATTAGCCCTATCATTGCTTTATGTATCACCTCCTCCACAGAACACACTCACAAATAAGTTCAAGCATTCCTATTGGCCTTTTCTACTTACAGGAATATAGGGATTACCTTAGATTATCATCCAGGATTTAAGATGAAATGTCTGTACAGATAGTTTCTCAAAAGGTACAGCTTCAATGTGCTCCAAACATAAAAAAGTGTTTAACACTTAAATGAACATCATATTTTATCCATAAGAGGAAACTCAACCAGCAAAGTTTCAAGCTTTAGCAGAAAAAAGGGGAGACATATTACACTTATTATTACATCTCTCTATTCCTATTGCTAGGCAGTCCAATTCCAAGTTCATTGTTTTGTTTTTTTTAAAGTAATACAATTACTAAAAAAAAAAAGTATTTGTTCTATATCATTAATTTCATAGTAACTACTACCCACATTATTTATGCAATTCTCATTTGTGTCAGGCCCTAAATAGTAAACTTTGTTATTATGTTCAGGTAGCTAATGAAGCAAGAACTGTACTGTCATTATAAGCTTTCATAAACAAAACTATGAACAACATTGCTTATGAAAAGTCTCACAAAAAGGAAAGGAGTGAAAACTCAAGAGACTTCAACGTTTATCTCTGTGGAAATGAAGTTTTCACACTGCAAAGGCAAGAGTGGGGAAAAAAATATGAGTACTTTAAAATTAGAGATGAAAACAGAACATGACAGTGCAAAATATTTTATTCCATATGAAAACAAGCACATTAAATGAGTTGAAACAACTCATTGACAGCTTTTCCACACCAATGCCTTATGAGTACTAACCACCCTCAACTATCATTCACTGATCCAAATTATCATGAACTGCTGGAACTCTACAACCAGTTATGAATGATATCTGAAGGAAGGCAGGGAAGTTCATGGAGGATTATTCCTTATCTAGTGGTTCCAAATTTCTTAAAACTCAACACAGAAATTCTAGCTTCTATGGTGGCTAGAGAGAAGACCCACCACCAATTTAGTACAAAAAGCTATAAGCTTGCATAGAAATTCCTGCCTCTAGGAGCAGAAGACACCAACATCAGAGTGCTGCTGAAAGGAAAAAACTGTGGTAAGTCACTTCTTACTGGGGAGGTCTTCGATAATATACCCCAGGGTGGTCAACCTCTAATGAATGCCACAAGTAGCCCAGGCAGCCTCTGTGCATGACACCTGGCAAATTAGAGGGGGTAGGCCACACTGTGGCAGATAGTGCAGGGAGCAGAAAGCAGAGCAGACCAAGCAGATAAAGGGGATCAGAGTGGCACTCAGGGAAGGTGCGGGGCTTAATTTGTGGCATGACAAAAAGTTGGCCTTCGCTACCATACCTTAATTCTATTTATATAAAAGTCTTAGTTTCCATCTGTCCATACTGCTTTATTTGCACTCTGATTGGTTGTCTCAGCAGGTGGCAGCAGCAGCATGGTGGAGTGCTGGTCTCACCCCCCACCAGGCTCTGCTCTCCAGAGGCGGCGGCAGCACAGGGTGCTGGCTGAGGGAGACGGAGGGGATGGCAGGGCAAGCTCCCCTGCTCCTTGGAGGAAGTGGCAGCGGGGGGGGGGGGGGGGCCGGGCAAGGAGGG